CCGAAAATCGGGGGTCGTCTTATACGCCCGGTACATACGGAAGGATACGGTATACTGTATGTTGCTTCGGCTACATACAGTATACCGCGCTGAGTCAATCACAGCAGGCTTTGTATTAATGAATACAAAGCCTGTATTCATTAATGCAAAGCCTGCCGTGATTCACTCAGCGGAAGACTGAGGACACAGCGGGGATCGTGGACAAGGTAAGAGACTGTAATCCCGAGTATGGCTCGGGGTTACCGCTTATGGTACTGAAAATTAACCCCGAGCCACACTCGGGAATACCGCCATGGATGTTAGTGGGTGCATTTAAACATTATTTTGGGCTATACTCATCTTACACAACGAGTATAGCCCAAAACCTATATTTTAACACAAAGTAGGGGGTCGTCTTATACACCGGCAAATACGGTATTTTATACGGTAAAATTAACAAGTGCATTTTTCACTAAATATTTGTGTTTAATAGAGTTGCACCAATATCTTGCAACATGAACATTTTTAACTGCCACCAGTTAAAAATGTTCATGGCAGCGAAAGGGTTAAATTTTTTTTCCTAATGACCTTTTTGTGTTTTGCTTCATTTGGGTCTCTTTTGTCCAGCATAAGGGAAGGCAATTTGTGGTCATGGTTCCCTTTAAAACACCTGTACATGCAAGGTCTTACACTGTTGTATGGACATTAGACTGTAAGCTCCTGCAGTAGAAGAAAGTCATATGTACGGTTCTATGAAGTCTGTCAAATGCAACAGAATACCAATATTACACAGTATAATTCCTTTGAGTATAAACTGGCTTAGATGCCATAACTTGCATAAAAGTAAAGGTCAGCTCAAATATTTTTTACTTTGCTATACTTTAGCCCTGGTTCACACCTAGACAGCAACGTTTTTGCACGTTTGTACGTGCATTAGCAGCATGCTGTTATTTGCACGTTGTGCACATTTTGTATGCATGTTTTAATGCGCATACATGAAGACACGCGTTTCGATTGGCAGCTCATAAACCATTGTGGGCAATGGTAGAACGCACGTATAAACGCGCAAAAACACTCACGAAAATGTGCAACATGCTTCTGTTGCGCGTTTTTGGGCATTTCCAATGAAGTCTATGGGGAGGAAAAGCGCTTTTAACTGGCCAAAGAAGCTTCTGTATCTTTTCAGGCTTCTGCCGTTTTCCTGCTCTGAGTTTTTCTGCTTGGGTATGAAGGACCATTGAAAATCATGGGATTTCTTGTGTTGGGCAGGTAAAAGTGCTTTTCTATCGGCTCAAAAACTCCTAGGTGTGAACCAGGGCTTACTAATGGCTGAGAAAGCTGTTGCAACAATGTTGAAAAAAAAAGTGGCTTCCTGCCAAATACATTTATGAGGAAGAGGAATAGATGATCGTATGGTTGTGTGATTTGTTATATTCTAAGTTCCTTATTTATTTATCTGCGGGCAGAAGAAAATTTTGGATTCTCCTTTTTTTTCTAATGTATAATGCCTGGTGATTATCATGTCCCTGATGTACAGACCTGTCAGACATCCCCTTAATGATGGGTCTCTTCCAGAGACACAAATATGGACACTCCAACAAATTAAGTAGGCATGTTCATGCATCTCTCTGGGGAATAGGATTTCTTTAGGCTGTCGGATTTGTGCCTGCACCCCTCTATCTTCCCAATGGCATGTTTTAAAAACCTTGTTTCTATTGATGGTTTGTAATGACATATTATAGGCACACATACGCAGCCTCTGCTTTGCCGTGTACACCTTGGTTTTCCTTCAAAGAACGAGCCAAAAAGGTTTGCTCACCCCTTTTCTTGAGATCCGTTGTGATCTAAGTCATAAAGCACAATTGGTGTCCTTCCTCCATTAAAATGTCCTCCAAAAACATTGATCAGCACTTCCACAGCAATATATCAAAACATCACATTTATTTTTAAAATATTTAGCTAGAAATTCCAGATACAGAGATCAACTTCTTTTGACATAGAAAGGTCTTGGGTCTTATTTACACTACAAGTGAACAAGACTTGCCTAAATGTTTTGGAGAATTTACATTAAGTGTGATGTTTAACATACTGCTGTGCAAGTGCTAATTAACATTTTTCATGGCTCTACTTTACTGTTCCTTCTCAGGGAATTCATGTTTTTCATGAACTTGCATGTGGATGCTATTTTAACAGTTAAAATGTGTAGTTTATCTCTGCAATACATGTCCTTTTCTCTATGCTTTATCCCTTTTAAAGAACCTATGCCATTGATCCTGGTAGCAATCCATTAAGCTCCAATTCCCTGTTGAAGCTGACAACATTGTACTTTTAACAAAACTTGGTGTCAGTCTTTTGCTAAACCACAGAATTCCTCTTCATCTCCACAATATGGGTATGCAATGTTTTGTAATCTAAGATAAAAAATGGGAGGGCTGATTAGACTCCTTGAGCTAATAGGTAAACGGGACAAAAACAGCTCTGAATTTCTGACCGTATCAAAAGGTATTTTTTGCACTTTTGAACAGATATACAGGTGAAACTCGAATAATTAGAGTATCGTGCAAAGTTCATTTATTTCACTAATGCAACTTAAAGGAGAACTATGACATGAGTGATTTCCACTAATGTCATAGTTCTAAGCCGACCGGTGACAATGAGACTGTCACAGGTCGGCTCAGTAGATCGGGAGGTGAGAGAACACATACCGGGTTCCCTCTAATTATTACATGCAATCAATAAAACAAGGATTGTACATAGAACAATATCGGACCTCTGAAAAGTACAAGCATGCATATGTACTCAGTACTTGGTTTGGGCCCCTTTTGCAGCACTTACTGCAATTACTTTTGCACGATATTCTAATTATTCGAGTTTCCCCTGTATATGAAAAGACTTACAATGATACATAGACCAAAAGGGAGCAAATATGGGACGTGTATTTTTTAGAGCAGTGGTTCTTGACCTGTGTAACCTCGGGACCCACATTTGTCCTTGGCCATTAAGCCGCGACCCAAGTTGGCCATTAAGTCTGCTGTGCTGTGATGGTGCTCCATCCATATGTGTATTGTTTGCAAAGCTCCCCTGCGCGCCCATAGAGGTGCCGGGAGCCAGAATGTGATGCACTGTAAGCAATGCACGTATGGATGGAGCTCTTTTGCGGCCATAGCCCCACCTCACCCCACCTCAAGTCTGCACTCGGCACCGGGCATCATATTTTGGAATGGCTGCTCAGTGCAAGAACTGACAGTGCTTCTCTAGGGGGATGCTGAGTATCCTCTCACCTAGAAAAGTGGAAGGCATGTGGCAACCCACTTTTGGGTCACAACCCACCAGTTGAGAACCAAGATTTTAGAGTACACATACACTTTAGGCAGGGTAAATATAATTAAATTCGGGTCTCCCTTTTAGAGTCTAAAGCTATACATCTCTATATCTAATGCAATACAAAATATGAAGGAACAAGTATGTAAATCTGTATTAATCCTACAAAATTACTTTAAAGTTAACACTGCAATGGTAGTGGACACAAGATTCATGCATCTTTTACCCAAGCTTCTCATATTTTTCTCATGGGATTTATTCGGAAAAATGTAAATGTGAGTTCTGACTAAAAGCTGTGTGAATCTTGAGTCAAAACCCTTTTAAAAAAGGCTGTTAAATATCCAGTTAGCTTCTTCTTTTTTTTTTAATTGAAACTACACGGAAATTCCAAGCAGCAAGCTGTCTGATAAAGTAATTGCATTTTCTACTAACTTAATTTTAAAACTTGACCTTAATACCCAAAAATTAGATTAGTAAGTAAATGTGGGTACATACTAGTATACAATATACCAAACTTTTACTGTTTATTTGCTGCATGCTTTGACTGATCCACGACGTTCACGACAGAACACCGGTATCTGCGCTTAGTATAGGGGCATTTTCACGAGTATGAGTACTCATGAAAATGCCCAACAGATGGAACGCCAGGGCCCACAGAAAAGGGAGTCAAGATCTCCCTTCTATAATTACTGACTGTCTCATCCTGGGAGTTGTGGGTGTTCAGCAACTCTTGTTGCATTCTCCAAAATTTTGAAAGCTCCCATAAAGGCCACAGTTGGTGTGCTGACCCAGGAATGCAAAGGTCACACCAATAGAGTCCTAGATACTATTGGGTGGCTGAACTTATTGACTGTAATTATGAGAGGTAAGAAAGTGAGATGGTTTAACTCTGCAGGCTCCACATTTTTTTTTTTTGTGTGGACCTATCCATAAAATTATTCCTTTTTTTTCCTTTTATGGAAAGGATCAGCTCGATCACACAGATTTAAGTAGGTGAAAAATGTCACTGATGAGCAATTTAGAAGTGTTCATTATTGTCCCCCTAGGGCAGCGGTTCTCAACCTGTGGGTCGCGACCCCGTCGGGGGTCGAATTACGATTAGCCAGGGGTCGCCTAGCGGTTCCCGGCCACCCGGGAGAGAACACTTTCTCCCGGAGAGGTTTACTCTGCTCGATCGAGGTCCCCCTTCTAGTTATTGACAGCAGCAGAAGGCGGGTGCAATAGCTAGTTTGCTATTGGCTATTGGAAAGTGAAATAGTCAATAGAAATCTAGCTATGCATTCTTATGGTGTTTTTTTTATTTTGACGGCGTACGCCGGTAGTTCTCAATCTGTGGGTCGCTTTGTGATTTCTGCTGTGCTAGGTGAGAGTCCTCCTTAGCCCTCTCCTAGCGCAGCAGTGTCAGTTCTCCCGCAACACCGCCAGATGTCGCTTTAGCAGCCGCGTCATCCCTAAATTTTACAGTTGGGGGTCACCACAACTTGGCAAATGTTACCAAGGGGTCCCGGCCCTAGAAAGGTTGAGAACCACTGCCCTAGGGGGAACCTACATGTTCTGAGTAGTTGTGCTAATGAGGGAGAAATGGAAGAAATGTATATAGGACTGATGTCATAAAGGTCTAAGTTAATGTACTAAAATTGTGTTAGTATTTTAAACAAATTGTGTCTATAGTTTAATTTACTTTTGCTTTCTCTCAACAGCAATATGCCCCATCTGTTTTTGAGAAATATACAGCCAGCATCACTATCGGAAACAAAGAATTTATTCTTCATTTGTATGATACAGCAGGTATGTTCAGCATAATGATCTTGTTGTATTTAAAATGTAACTGTACATTCTAATGATTATTAGCTCTTTTAATACACCCATGGATACCAAATGGCATTGCAGAAAGCGCCTGTTATCTCAACCATTTCTATCGTCTGCTTTAAGGGCTGACCTCAGAGGTCCGGGCCAGCTTACACATTGCTTTGTTGACATTTTAGGATGATTGTGTTTGCACTGCAACTGCAGACAAGGAATAAGAACTAAGCTCCGAAAGAACAAGGAAGGCATCTGCTCTACAAACCAACTTAAACAAAAAGTGTGCTTTGCGCATGCAGAGCAAAGCACAAGGTTTATTAAATGCCCCCTCTTCCAGCAGCTCTTGTGCTTTCATCTGCGGGAAGCTAGCCCTGTGTAAGCTCTGAGGCACTGTGTTTAGAGCTAACTCAGAACTAGGGACTCTCTCTCCGCCCCCATGTGATGGCACTGGACCATTCACTAAGCTACAGCATTGTCACTGGAGAGGGAAGGGAATAAGTCATGTGCTACTTATCCGAAAATACCAGTTATTGCACCTTGCACCGAAATGGAGTAGTTCTTCCTCTATATTGTTGTGGCAGTAATTACATTCTGGGTTGGCTATATCAGGCATTACCTCCCAACTTTCTGAGATGGGGGGGGAGACATTTCGTAGCGCAAAGTATGTAGTCCAAGGTCATATCCCTGTTACGCCCCCCGTTAATTGTTTTCAAAGTATTGAAATGCAAAAAGATTGGTTAAACCCACAAGTGTTTTTTTAACCATTATTTTATGCTGGTTTTTCAAAATAACTGCAGTGATTTAGAGGTTTAGTGCAATACAATACTTTTGGTAGTGAAATAAAATATTTGTTAGAGAGGACTATACATCAGACTATAAAGAGGCACAACTGGAGGAAAGAGGGACAGAGGAATTTGGTTGACAAATAAGGTTGTCCCCTGGACAAGAAGTGAGGGGAGATATCTCTAACAGAGCCCCGGATAGTAGTAAAATGTGACTGGGGTTCTAACTTTTCACATTCCATACATAAGAAAAAAACAACTTTAATAAAATTGCTTTGCTGTTGCAGTATAGTGGTATAAGCCCTTTTGTTCAGGACTAATTTAGGTTTGTAGATTAGCATGTAATAGCAGAGTCTAACTAAAGTTGTCCCAGGACATCTGATAACAGGACAAATTGTGTCATTCATTATAGAGGGAGCTCAGAGCTGGTCAAACCATTTTCTTTGTTCCAATACAGTATAGCTAAGGTGTTTGCTATGAACACTACTTCCCCTGTATGCATCAAGAGTTGGCACATAAACTTGGGCATTGTTGTAAGTGTGCCAAGAATTCTTTATCTAGGGCAACTTGGCTTGTGTGTTTTACACTTCAAAGTAACTACATTTTCTCTGCTGAGGCAGGCGTGTGTGTGTGTGTGTGTGTGTGTGTGTGTTTCCCTTCAAAGTAATTCTTTTTTCTCTGAATTTAGAAGTACTGCAGCCTCTGTAATATGTAGGTAGTTAGTATTCTGCAACATCTTCGAGAGGTCCTTTTTAAAATAGCCCAATGTCCTTTCCTCCAAGTAGAACTGGATTTCTTTTTTTTAATCTAAGGCAGCAAAACTAGGTAGAAAATAAGCTTTCCATTCTTTGTCACTATAAAGTTTGGGTAAAGAAAAAAGGCTTAGCAAAACCCGTTGTCATGCAGAAGTCCTGCAGTTCCGGAAAACTGTACATGTTTTGCTACCTGTTTTGCTTATCACTTTCTACAATAGGGCCCTTGTCAGAAGCTCACTGCAAAGTGCTTATCTGGCAGAGAGCCACTCTTGATCTGAAGCTTGGCTGTGTGAAACTACCAAGGTCTACCAAGTGAAGGCTGTTCTCTTTTAGTTTGCAGATCCAACCAACAAGTTTAAAGGAAAACCATCCTGAGAAATGTAGTGGCTACAATTGCTGACTTATCATTCTGCCAATGCCAGCCACCTGTCTGAGCCTTGTTTCACTACTTTTGAGTCACTAACTCAGCAGAAGCATCCAGTTCAACGTCTGTCTCTAACACTTCTCATATACCTGTAGATTCTGAGAAAGAAGACACACTCATGCAGAGGTTTCTTGAATTTATCAATGTTATCAGCAGATGCCTCTGCCTGTGGTAGGGAATTCCAAACTTTCACTACTTTCACTACTCTCACAGTGAATGACCCCTTGCGAATTTTAAGATCGAACCCCTCTCTTCTAACCTCCTGCTTGTGTCCCAGGGTTCTCAATACAGTTTTGGTAGTAAACAGTTTGTTCCTAATATTGAAGGCCCCGATGATGATTTTGAAGACTGCAATAAGGTCCCCTCTTAATTGCCTCTTTTCTAAGATGAATAAGGATAAAGCCTTTTGACTTTATTCTGACTGTCCTTGTATGTATTCTTGTTCTGGATCTCTGAATATTAAAGCCAGAGGGTCAAAGCCAGGCAGCTAGCTAGGCGGCCAGCCCATGAAGAGTTTTTTATCTGACCCACTCATTTGCAAAAAGCTTTTGGTAGAAGAGCCCATAGCGCAGATCCCTTTTTTTTTATTTTTATTTTTTATTTTCTTCAACTGTAAAAGTTTGTGCACCCTGCAGATCTGGCTAGTCCTCCAAT